AATCGGCACACCAACAAGGAAGCTATAAGAAGAATGCAATCCATCGATAGGGTTCAGAAGCTTACCTCCACCGATTCCGTCTGACCGAGCGAAGCATGGTGGTGATGAAGCTGAATCCCATCGCCTCACCATCGTCAGCGTCCGTTCCGGGGAGCATTATTCAGAAGGGGCAGAAGCGGAGGGCGAAGCGAACAAAAAAGACGGAGATCGCGAGAGACGATGGAGATAGTTTGTTGCGAGATACTCTTTCGTTTTGTACGACGAGGCGGGGAAGGTTACCTATACCGCCGAGGGACACCTTTTGTTTTAGTGCTTTTACATATGTAGCCTTGTCAATAGTGGAAATCGCATATTTTACTCTTTTTTTTTTTTTTGGTAAATCTTAATACAACATACATGTCTTCTTACCTTTGATACCATAAAACATATTCACATTAATTATGCATATTCATGCATAAAAACATTTGATATTTTATTTAGACAGATATAAATGTCACTTAAAGTTTCAATTTAGCAACATTTCATAGAGATCTACACGGATATATACAGACGTGTACTTGGAATTTGCAGGTACAAATAGAAAGAGACACATGAGTACAATCTTGATGTGTGGATATGAGGTTGCCGATGGCAATTTCTGCTATTTCTTTCGAGGGCATCGATCATCGTTACAAGGCGGAGTACACCAAGGTTGCGCAGATGAATCACATCGCATGACAAATGACTAGATTTCAAGTTTCCATGACCAATAAAAAATGCGATGATGTAAAACAAAATTAGGCAAAAAGAAACATACATTAGGAAGGTGTGATAAGACCCGTAATCTCTGTATTCGGTCATGTATCCACCCGCTATCAACTGCTCTATCACTCTTGTAATAATTCATGTGCAAGTCCTTTTACACTATGCTGGAAGGTCATTCCGCTTTGCTTACTTCACCGCCAGGGGTTCTTCCTTTTTGTATTATTGCCAATCCTTTTCGATTTGCTAGTAGAGTTCGCTTTGGAATTCTGCAAACGAGAGAGAGAGAGATGAGTTGGCCAGATACGTTATAGGATTTGAGCTCTGATCACAAAATTTTTGTTTCTAGCTTGACATACCGATTTAGACTTGTTAGACTTCACCCGAATCCTATTCTTCGGGGGTTTCAATTTGTAAATACGAACCATCCAATGATGTGTAGTGAACACCTGCGCCAACCACAACAGCCAGTGAAGTAACACGATGCTAATACAACAGCATTGCAGATTTAGTAATCAAGAATCTTGTCATCTTAGCATCAGACTTCATAGATGGTATGGAAAAACAAAAGCAGTTCTTCCCAATGGAAACATAAACACAACAATGAAACACTATCTAACACAGGAAATAAGTCGAAAAACACTGACCTCCTCAAAATGGGATAGCTTGAAATGTTTCTTCCCGATTTCAGTCCCCCTGACTATATCAAAGCCTTTACCATCTGTTTCCACAAACCTGGAAACAAGCAAGAGGAATGATTATAAACTTTCTGAGTACATAAGATTTCAGATTATAATTGCCAACCTCCAAAGATGACCAGAACATATTTGACATTCAGGGAATTGAATATCTCCCGAGCTGGCTTCTCTGGAGAAGACATAGCAGTACCTACAGTTACGATATGAGTGTTATTCCAGGTATTATTATCAACAATGACTGTACGATTTGCCATTGCAGTTGTTTGGTAACCATAGTCCCACCAAGATGCCACCTGCACAAAATGTACTGTTTAAGAAACTTGATTCATGCAAAGCATTCTTTGGAGATTTTTGAAACATACAGTCTCTGAATCTTGTACACAAGAATATTCGACTTTTGCTGTTGATGTGGCTTCAGGCAAGCAAGCAACAGGAAAAAAAAAGCATTTTAGTAATTCACTTCCCAGGAAGGCGATGCTAAAAGGCACCACATACCGGGTGTGAACATGTTGGAGAAATTGAAGTGCCTTTGTATCGATTAATTGCTATGTACCAGACTAGTAAGAAATATAACCATAGGCAGCTAAAATCATAAATCTTATTCGAATAATTGACGTGTTGTTTCATAAACTCAACACATTTTTACATAGTAAGACCTTAAAGTATAAAATGAATGTATACCCTTTACCAACTGGCACCACCCGAAGATGAGTGCATTAAATACTTATTGCCTTCAACGTTCAGAAAATAAGAGATTTCTTCTCCTGAAGTAGAGATTGATTGCGCATCAGTAAACAACCTTTTTAAATTCCTGCAGGTTACAGGTTTGAAAGGCTACATGTCTTGCTTCTCCAGCATTTACAGAAAACATTGATCTAATCATACAATCTAGTGAAAGGTGAACTTGGCAGCTGCCAACAGCCACACTTCAACACCAGAACTGAGCCCTTGACCACATGGCCATCTCTTGGGTATTAGAAATAGAGTGGGTTTATTATATTCCATTTTGGTCATTATTATACTCTCTCTCTCTC